GGACAGTTGCCACCGCAAACTGACAATCCATGATCCCCCTTCCCAAAAGACTTTAAGAATAAGACTAACAAGAACAGATTATCAGGCATAACTGCAAAATTAGAAAGGGGTCCTTATTACTTCCACCTCTGTCTTGATCTCAAGGTGGGCAACGCAGAGACAGAGGAGGATGGTTAAGCACTCAGGTGCGAGATCTTCACTCCTCTGGAGTATAAGCTCCAATGTTAACCCCATAGCAGCAGCTATAGTGGTAGTGGGTAACACAAAAAATGTTGCTTACCATGCAGCAAGGCAATAAATACAGCAGAACCAACAATGCACAAGTAAAACTCAGGCAGCACCATCAACTAGAGTGGAAGTGGGAGAATGTGGACTTTGTAGGAGGCTGGGAAAGCAGTGCCTTTGGGAGGCAATGGTAGAACCCAAGGAACACAAGGTGAAATTAAATAGTGGCAGGAAACACCAGCTATGTTCATATTAATAGGTCAGATAGGGTCAGGGTCCAGCCCCAAGCGGTGGCACACAGTCATCCACCCTCTCTGCTTAACTGTTAACATGCTTGCTAATGTGGTTTTGGCCTAGGCCAACTTCTGTTCTTCCAAACACTGACTCTCACTCGGGACTGCACGGCCTAAGGTCCCTTCCTGAATGTGGCATACCCTGGTTTGAAGGAGGAGCAAGATGAGTGCATGTGTGTGAGCTGTGCCATGCTAGTTGGCCTCAGGGCCAGTTGCTGATCTCTTGTATTGACTAGTATAGGCATAGTCACTGGTGCCAAGAAAAGATGGGGGGAGACGAGAGGTATGAGGTTGAGAACCAGGCAAGAGAAAAGCGCACAGGAGATGGGCAAAGAGGGCAATATAAAGAAAAAAATATCCCGAGGTACAAGTGGGGAGTGGTTGAGACAAGTTTTATCTTCTACTCCTTTATTTACACACTGCCTCTTTAGATTTTAGTTTTTTAAGACATGGACCAATCGTCTCTGATCCATGTTAGGCATATGCTCTGAGAAAGTGTCATCGTTAATACCAAAATGCCAGAAAATACCAGACCCTGACTTGCTGAAATACTTTTGGATCTGTAGTAAGTCCAAAACCTACAAGATTATTATCTTTCTCTTCATTCAGTGTGAGAATGAGGAAGAGTGCAGAGACATCAAGAAGACTCATTTAGAGAAAGAAGGTTCTTCACGATTAGCTGCCTCTGCCCATAGCATCACAACAGCAAATCACTGCAATATGAATGAAAATAGGTAAGCATTTTCCTTCTTATTTACTACTGAGTCATACAACTAGTTGCAGTTTAATAGTGTGTTATTTTTTCCTATAATAGGATTTATTTTTTAATTATCACATTTTATGTTGAAAAATTGCCTGCTGCATTCTCCTTTCTTCTGGTTTAATGAACAAGTTAGCAGCTCCTGACACATTTATATACTCGCATTTTTGTCCTATTGCACAAAGAAGTTGTGAGTTCAAGTGTGGGGCTCATAGAATGAGTAATTATAGCTAGAGGAGCGCAACCATCCAAGACATACTCCCAAACACTGTGTTGTAGGTACCAATTCACGTAGGCAACAATCTTATAACCTTTTCTTTCCTTACAGTGTTACGAGTTTCAAACTTAAAGTTTGGCTGTATGTCTGGGTATACAATTATCTACAAACTCTATGGAAAAGACTGAGAAAAATATTTGTAACAATGCCTGCAGTACCCAGTGCCAGAATATATTTGAGATTACAAGCAATCTATTCTGTGTAATTAATGGGTATTTTAGGACAAGGAATTCAGACTTTAGAAACAATCAGATTTTCAAAGGATGCAGGGCATGAAACAAATGATGAATATTTAGCATTTGCTGGCATGGTTTATGCACACAGACCCCTATGAATGTCAGATCAACCATACCGAGTTTCTCTGGAGGCTTCCAGCAGTCAAACTTACACATGCCTCTTTTCAGAGTTCAGCTGCATGCTGGTTATCAGTATTTTAAAAAAAAAAAAAATTTCTGGTAGCATCAGGGTATCTTTTGGAGTGGAACTGCTAAAATTAGAGAATAGTTGTATTTATTGTAGTCGCCTTTTCTGTTGTACACATCACTAATGAGTTTGAGCGATTCTTGTCGTTAATACTGGAAAAAAACATGGAGAAAACTAATATATTCAGTGCTTATTCAAAAATATGCATTTTATTCCTTTGTCCTGACATGTCACATATGTTTCATAAGGTGAAAACAATACACAGAACAGTTTGCTTTATTGTAGGTGATTGCATGCAGGCATGCCATTCCTCCTACCGCAGCGTCGTATGTTTTACGTCGCATTCATTCTCAGAGAATAGCATGGCTGTCACAGCTTGCTATGTCACAGGGTTAATTCTGTGCTTCCTGGAAGCAGGACAATAATTTGTGTTTTGCTTGACATTATATTCAGTACTCCTGGAAATAAACAAAAAAGAAGGTCTTAAATGTCTATTTGCATCCTAATTCTTCCCTGGTCTGCCCTGCTTCCAAGAGGTTTCTGTGGCTTATGCTACATGATATCAAATGCTGCTATTCCCACAGCTGAGGATGGGCTACTGAGGCTATGACTAAACCAGCAGTGCAGGTATCAGGACCTCCTGTCCCTCTTGCCACCAGCGGCTGCTCATGCTGGCAAATCCTCCCTCCAGTTATGCCACCATAGCTGAGCTGCCTGTGAGGCTCTCCTGTAAATTCACTCAAGAAACATGTCTGAAAACAGAACTCTTTCCTCTTCTTTTTTTTTTTTTTTGACTGGGTTGTTATTATTCAGCTCCCAGCAGAGCCCCCCAGACAGTTTTGTCAGCACAGCTGAGGGCTGGTAGCTAAGAGAGCAGCAAAAACACCTTCAGATATGAGCATTTTCTACTGTGGTGTTACAGTCTGAGGTGCAGACCAAGCAAGGCCCTGTTTGACAGGATTTGAAAATATCTTGCATCTGCGGCGGGTGCCACAACCTGCCCACTCCCAGCAGACCAGAGCTCACTGCGGGTTGTTCTGCGCAGCGTCTCAGCATAAGATGATTGTGCTGCTGCAACTGGACTGCTCACCATACGCTTAGGTGGGCCCTAGGCGACATGCCAAAGGCCATGGAGAAGGTCTGCAGCACAACTAGAAACCACAGCTACTCCTCACAAGCTCCGGGCCAAGCTTTTGAGGCTTGGCTACACTTCCAAAGAGCTATGGCTTCTCTTGGATGCGTTAGGCCTGCACTTGTGACAGTGATGTATAAGCATGGCTAGTCAAGGCATGGGTTTATGTTTGAAAAGAGGAAAAGAAATGACAGCATCGGGATGCACATTCCAAATAGTGCTAAAGATCTTATTTTTTCTTAGGGAGAGAAGAAGGGCAGAGTTGTCCATCTCACACACCCTGATTCTTGCTTTCATAAACAGCCTTGGTCATGAATGCAAAACAGTTCACGTTGTGTTTTAAAGGTACTACACTGTGGAAAACAGGAAAGGTTCTGCATTCTGATTCATGGCTTCTCTCACAGCTGGTTTTTAAAGATTGGCCAGATAAATGGACAAATGCAAGATAAGAGCACATTTAATTAGCTCTGTTCCCTGAAATGATGTGCAGAAATAAAGTATAGTTTGTACCATATTCTTTTTTGCGATTCCATTAAGTGTATACTGTCTGATACAGTAACTATAAAGAAGTGAGAAATGTCCATAAAAAGTAATAGGCTGAATAAAGGGGAATGTGATAGGGAAAGGTATTGTGTTAAAATAGTCTGCCTGACCTTAATCACAGTTTTAGTCTCAATGCAAACTGTCTGCTTAAAAAAACTTTTATTTTGTGTGTGTTGCTTTAAGATTTTCAGCTAAATTTTTTCTTCAAATTAGTACATCTGAAGTTTATTTCTGGGCATATTTTTACGGTCTGTCTGACTTCTCTTCATCCAAAGCTTCTCCCAAATAAATGAAAGCTGAAAATACTGTCTGTGTTACAGCGTTCTTTAGAAGGCGAAGCAGCTCACATTTCTCTGCGTCTACTGTTTGCATAGGTTTCCTTTTGTCTGCAGTACCAGCCTATGTTTCTTTGTCTTCAAAATCTGTATTAGATTAGTATAAACAGCGCTACCAAAGGCTGGGCGTGGAGCACAAAGACAAGCCAGTCATCTTTAAACACATTTCCTGGTTTAGTTCGCATGTGGTTTTATTGCCATGCCTTATAAATTGTCACCTGTAATGGTGAAATAGGGCTCCATAACCTGAACTTACACTTCAGAGCCTAATCTTCGTCTCCAGCTATCCCTTAAGAAATGGTGAGCAAGTGGCTATTTATCTCTGGTTTTTTTTTTCAAGTACTCTGATACGGACTTTAACATGATACAAATTTGTAAATGAACTCTTGGTCCCAATACTGTAAGCTTGTTTCCAGATACCAATAGACTTTATCCTGCCAGCAGGTTTTAAATTCAAAGTTTTGGTAATATATAAAACATTTACCTTTCTCAAAGCCAGCTTTGTGACACTCCATTACTGTAATTTCCATTTCCAGCTTGGCAATACCAATAAATAAAAATGAGAAAATGCTTCGGTCACCCGTCTCTCCCCTCTCTGATGCATCAAAACACAAATACTCCAACGATGATTTAACTTCCTCCAGCAGACCTAATGGCAGCAGTCTATTACCTTCCATCTCCTCCAGCAAAAAACATAAGGGTGAAATCCAGTCACAGCCACATCCCGGAGACTTCAATGTAAGTTTATGCTGTTGTTCACAGTATACAGCCTAGCTGGATATTTTTCACTTTCTATTGCAGTCCGTGATAGTTTTGTAGAATGTTATGCAAAAAAATTGTAGTAATGAATGTTGTATTGTAAGTTCAGTTTTCCTGATTCGGAGTTTAGCAAGGCACAGAAGAAAGTAAAGAGAGCAGGCTGTAAAGCAGGCAAATACCAAAGGCTACATAAGCAAAAGGTAAAAGCTAATGGCCCAGAACAAACGGCTTTAGGCCTCCAGGGTATCGCCTGGGCACGATGCAAGCCCCCTACATCCAAAAGTGTGGTGCATAAGGCCTCCACTGTATAAGGCCCCTGCCTAACCACGAGTGTGCCTGCAGATAAGTTCTCCTACATGTCTTAAAACCAACTTTCTCAGGCATTTCTACTTACTCTTGACACCAGCGAACATCTTAGCACCAGCCTCCCAACTCAGCTCCATCAGAGCCCAGGTATTCAGATACCTATCAGAAAGTCTTGATCACACTAAATGTGTCCAGAGCATCCTTCCAGATAAGGCCGTATTACTACACCGCATAGGTAGCCACTGCCATCAGAGCACGGAGAGGGAGGAGCAGGTGCTGCCCCCCCATATATGCATGAGTTCTGTGATTAGGATGCTGGAGTAAAGAGCCTGTTAGCTCTTCTGGTTGAGGGAATTCACATATCTCTCGTACTTACCTCTCAAAATCATACCCTACCCTCCAGGACTCTGCCGGTAGAAGAGCAAGGGCAGAATATTGTCACGTCCTCCCCCTGAAGTCGTTCTGCTTTGTGTGAAGTACCTAGAAGAAGCAGTTTGGGTACCATCGTATTGATGTCCACTGCTGGAGCATCTAGTCAAGCTGTTAGGGCATTCTGCCACTGCCAGAGTGGCCCATGCTCTTCTCCTTGCTACAAAAGCCATTTACGTATTTGATCCTATATCTAGTTGTTGTATTTGTTGTTTGACACATAAGAGGCTTCCACAGCCCAAGTATTAGTGCCTAAGCAACTTTCAGGAAACCAAACTACCTGAGTTGTAGCAGTGGTCTCTTCCAGCCACTTTTGCTGTGGGGATAACTGGCCCCACAGTATACATTAACTATATATGACATATATTTATTTCTTGAGAGTGGATGGGGAAGTAGTAACTATAATCTTAATTTTGGACACTTTTTAAAAACCAAGGTATCATAAATTGTGTGTTTCAAGAATATCCTGCAGATGCTTTTGGTAAATTGAAATAAAATTAATTGCATAAAAATATTCCAATAAAAAGGCATTTTAACATATCATAGTCATTAATTTATTTTTTCATGGATTAAATGTAAATTTTTAATATTTTAACATTTTAAACGTAAGTTTAGAGGTTTATAACCCATTCAAAATTATAATGGTATGATTCTTCACTGGATAGCTTGAAAACAATTTAAATTCCTTCACAGGCAAATATGCTGGAAATCAAAAGTAAAAGGTGATTGCTTTATGATCCACACCCTTAGCAAATGTGTTTCACTGAGATTTTCTGCATAGCCTAGCAATGCACCATTTGGTCAACATTTCAACAACCTTTGCAATAAAATTCTTATATATCTGGTTATTCATCTGAAAACATCTGGATGCACCATGTAGAAGATGAGAGCTCATGAACTATAAATGCTAAAGTTAGTTTTGTTATATCCCAGCTTCCCATCTGGCACCTAACTAGCATGCCCAAGCGGCCCTTTGAATTTCTGTCGGAGTCTGCGAGCCAGGGAGTGGCTTTTATCCCTCTGAGCTTCGTGCCCCATTCCCTATTGCATTTCTATTTGTCACCTACTGGAGAAAGAACTGTGTTTTCTGGCAGTGGTTATCAACCAAAACCAACCCAGCACCTTCTGCTTTGCACTGTACCAGCGCGTGGTAGCCCACACAGCCAGTCACTCGGTGGGACGAAGGGCTCATGAGGCCACACGAAGAACAGGGCTGCAGCTGAGGGAATGTGTGAGACCCTGCCAAAAGACCTGTGCTTTGGCTGTGGCACAGAGCAGTGATCTTTCAAGCTGATCAGGGGCCCAGAGCAGAAAGAAACCTGGACCTTGGGCTACAACTCCATACTGCACATTAGCAGTGCAGAGTGAAACAAGTCAAACAAGTGAGCCTTGCTCTCCCGAGGCAAGGTACAATGCTAGTTTGGAAGCTGGAGACTAGAGATATAACTTGATCTTCTAAATGACCACAACAGATCTATTCTTTAATAATTTCATTTACTATGTTTCAGAGTGTTTTGATAGTTACTAATAGTTCAGCTCCATTTCTTCCATATATCACATTGAAATTCAAGCCCTTTAGAAAGCGCTCTGAGCAATATCGGTGAATTTAGGGTTATCAGTGACAGGACAGTTATACGTACTCCCTGCTGAAATAGTAGGAAAACTTAAGTGCCAATTTACAACACAATGCAAAGACACTCTGTTGTTTATTAGTTGCTTTTTTGAAGTTAGTAGCCAATTCCTCAATGTCTTCTCTGCTGTTTGTTGTCTAGAAAGCAATTCACATCAATTCAGAAAATGTTCTTCTCTGCAATAAGCCCCAGTCCCAAACAGAACCTTGGTCACCTCTGTCCAGCACACCCAGGGACTGCAGAAGGACAAAGCTTATCTTTGATGATATGTAAGTACAGATGACTCTAAAATAAAGAAAACAATGTCGTTTTCTCCATTTAATGTGAGAAAAATAAATTTGTCCAACAGGAACTGAGACATGGCCGGAAGCATTAGTATATAGTAATGCTGCTGTACATCGAGAAATGAATGAGACATACTGTATATACTCTTTAATTTTTCATAATAAATTAAGCCTCTAATCATCAGGGAGCAGTGAGGGCTGACTGTTCCCTAAAGGACAGGGAGCCAAGGGGAGGAATGTGTCTGGCGGGGCAGGGGCCGTGCCAGCCAGGGGTCCCGTCCCACAGCACCCAAGCAAGGTGAGCGGGCAGGCCCAAGGGTGGAGCCGGGTTCAACCGAGAGCCTAGCTCCTCAGGCAAGTCCATGGTGATGAGACAGGTCCACGGTCAGGCCAAGGAAGTCAGGTCAGGGTCAGGTCCGGTGAGGGTCAGACGCAGCCCAGTGACTGCTGGGTGTGCACAGGGACGAGGCAGGTCAGGGGTCCAGCCAGGAGGACAGTCTCCAGGTCAGGGTCCAGATCGATGAAGGCCATGGCTGGGCACAAGCATGGCTGTGAAAGGGCTGAAGACGGGCACACTTTGAGTGAGTTGGACAGGGAGCAAAGGCCCAGACCTGAGCTTAAATGGATTTCTTTAGCCTGTGGGCAGAGGGAGGAGGCCCCACATGAGGCAGGACAGGGCCATTAAGGCTTTTTCAGTACCCTTGAGGCTCTGGCATTAATTATGCACACATCAGGCTATTAATATATACCGAACCATCGCAAGGCAGGGTGACAGGGGCACCCTTCTTGTGTGCCCTCGGGAGCAAGGGGAGAGGACACATCCTTGGAGCCTTGCATCCCTGAGCCTTGACAGCTGCTGCTGTCATTGCTGCTGCTGCTCAGGAGAAGGTATCACAAAGCAGGGTGAGCAGGAGGCAACAGTGGTTGGCATAAGTACCTGGAGGGATACCTGGCCCTCCCCACCTCCACTACATCCTTCAAACATCCCCTGCTCTCATCCTCTGAAAAAAAAAAAATCAGCTTGTAATTGTCCTTCTTCTCTTTTTGGTGAATTAAAATGGGTGGTTTGTTTCCCAAGGTCATTTAGGATGTGGTATTATTTAGGTAAGGTATAAAGATGAAACTGAAGGTTGAAATCCTGGCATCTAGAAAATTATGATTCTTTTTGACTTGCCATTTTCTAGCCTGAAAAATACTGATTTTTCTAGTGTAGAAGAGGTTCTGTTGAAGCTATGCCTCAGACTGCCTGGAGCAAACACAGCTCTGTAAGCCACGCGACCTTGATGCACCTTTTATTCTCCCAGACTTTCACCTACAGCATCACTAACTCTTTTATACTAAGGAAAACCCTGGGAAAATATCTGTTTCCTCAGGACCTGCTTTTTACCCGAACAGGGATTTAATAATAATAATTGTAATAATTGCAATGTTTATTCACACCACCTGGTTCAGAGGGATGACAGCCTCTCATATAGAGAATCCAGCTTCCCTACTATAAGGCATAAATAATTCCCATAAACTTCAAAAGGACATAACTGCTTTGTTTGTCAAGAAAAGACTGGTGAGATTAATGTCTGTGGGTATTCATGGCAGTCATAAGGAGATATAAGTTGAACAAATGTAATCATTTTTTTCTGCCCCTTTTGGAGAAAACTCCCCCCATGTACACATTCCTATTTTCCCTCCCTCTCCACTTCCCTCCATGTTATTTTTTACCTCTTCCAGTGCATTTATTCAACAATCTCCACTGAGAAAATGTGAAACTGTTTAGAAGTACTACCTAACTCTTCATATCTCTTAGAATACTTTATCATCTATAACTTACTTGCAACTGTTCAATTTTTCTGCAGTTTATATATGTACATATGAGGCAGAAAGGTATCAGGGTGCCTGATAAGAGTCAAAATTGTAGGACGTGCTCATCTGTTTGGATTAGAAAAAAAACAGTCAGAAACAACTAGAACAGATGTATTGTATCTTCATCCGATTTTCCCTCAAGATGCTGACAAAAGACAGGGGGACTGGTTTGTTTTGGTTTTCCCCTAGAATACTGCCATAGGAAAACTGCTTTTTTCACTGTCTCTGTCATCTAAGAGGCTTTTATCACCTGCTTTCTCCATTAGTGATACATGTGATTTCTCTGGCAGGCATCTTCAATAAGACTGTTTCACCTTTTCAGAGAGAGATACAATAAACCTGTGCCTGTATAGTGCCTTCCATGTAGAATGTCCCCAGGCACTTGTGGCCTGTTAAAAAAAGCAATCTAAAAAGCCAAATAAGATGAAACACAGAATCAAATGCATCTTAATTTGCCCTTAAAAACCAGAAACAGTTAAATGCCTGTTGTGATAAATAGGGGAGGGAGATTTTCATGTACTACAGCTGTCATCCACAACCTGTATCTAGGAAACACCACCAGAATACCAGCTATACTAGACCTTGATTCTGAAATTACTGTGCAGAGAAGTCACTGAAATGTAGCAGATTAGACTGGCTGCAAATGTTAAATGTCAACAAGTTTGACTCACATGTTAGAAGGATCAAATTAAATACGGCAGCCAGTGTCTTTCAAATTTGTCTAGTACCACAGCAGAAGATTTGAAGAAATGCAATACAGTAGGTCTAAAATGATGTAGTAATCCTAATGGCAGCATTTGTCCAAAGTGATGCCTATGAAGCATTTCATCTCATAATCCATGAAGTTCTGAATTACTGTAATCCAGCCATAGCTTTAAAGTCTTCATTTTAATCAGAACCTGTAGTTTTTAAGCGACTAAATCCCTTCTATTTGATTTAAAACAACAACTAATTTTTTTGACCAATCAGTGTCTCTTTGCTGTATTCTCAATTTATTTTCTCCAGATCATTGACAACAGCTGTCACTAGCAATAAATTGGAACACAAGTAGGTCAATAAAAAGTATATCTTGCTTGGCAGAGTGCTGTACACACATACATCGCAATATAGAAGTGAATGTAGCTAACAGTCTTCAAAAGGCAGGCAAAATCCTACTTGCCCTGGTTTGCCATTGTTTACCGCCTGCTCTAAACATGCTTCGAGGTACCCAGCATGCCACACGTATAAGTGACATCGAGGCTATTTCCAGTATTAATTCTTAACAAGATTTCCTGGATTTTTGGCCATTTCTGACTCTATGAAGAGAACATTTTCAAGGCTACATAATAATGCTTCAAGCCAAATTCAGTCCTGCTGTAATTTCACTGAATGACAGAATTCCCAATAACCGCATTTAGGAACAAAGTCTGTTGTCCTTGAATTGATAAGCACAGACATGCTGTGGGTGCCTGAGGGCACAGTCCAACACCCTCCTCAAAATACTGCATGTGTGGTATAAAAAAAAAAAGAGCAGAGCGTACCCAGCTTCGCAGTTTTCCTTATGCCTAAATCAGAACATGCTCCTCAGGATTATTTTCTCACTTGCATTGTGGTTTACCTTTTCCAACTTGGGGTGTGGTTTTCCTTCACTTACATATATTTTCCTTCTATTCTGGTCTTACAGGAGCAAGTTAATACATCTTCTTCAGCTTTTTTTTTTTTTAATTTGTATTTTGTTGAATATTTGTTCCACTTTTATGGATTTAGGTGCTACACACACTGACCAGCTTTACATTGTCCAAGGGACATATCCTGCTGTGAGATAGCATTCCTGTTTGTCAAGCAGTAAGCCATATACCCAGAAAATACTCAACCTGTAAAGGTGTTATGCATAGAGCTCATAAAGAGCTCAAAAGATAACTTCTTGGCACATCTCTTTGTTTTGGCTTGAACCCCACATCTCTCATTTTCAGTCTCCTCTTCCTTGTTCTTGTGTTTCAGAGTGGAAAGGAAAATGTGCTCGTGGGTTGTGGCTCCCAAACAACATCTGGAAGTCATCACACTTTGCATTGCTCAAAATGCCTGAAGGACCTCTGGTCTTCTGATGTATTTAGGAAGACTTTTGTAGTGCTGAGCCCATCCTCAGGAGCACAGTTAAGGAATAGAGCTTGGCTCCTCTTTCTTCTCATTAGCAATCTACAAAATCACTGGTCAGATAGACCAACATCTACTACACTAAGTTCCTCAAAAATTCATATGCTTTGGACTGCTCCCAGTTTATTGTTTTGGGGGGATTTCAAGACTTCACCTGACCATCCCATTCTTCTTCTCCTTCCCTTCTTACTTGTAGCGCTGAATTTTCTCATGTGAACACTGCTCATGAGAAAATAACATTAGACTATTAGAAAGCAGACACCATGTCCCATGATTAGATAATTAAGCTGCCTGTTCTCTGCAAGACCACCTACCCCCTTCCTTCTTAGGAACATTTTGTGAGAGCTTGGTCTGGTGGGAAATAGATGCTTAATCAGCTCTAGCGGGAGATTCTCACGGGGTAAAGAATTTATAGCCACTATTCCCTGTCGTGAAAGAAAAGCCAGAGCTGTGGACCTCATCTGAACTTACAAGCTACATCCACGCCTCTCCTCTGTTCCTACAGGCAAGTGGTCCAGCATTGCCTATGTTTATACGATTAAACTGTCTTCACTCCCCAAAACAAAGAACACTCACCGCCTCAAGAGAGCAGTCCCCGGCCTGTGCTGTCCCCCAGCTGTGCCCAGGCTTTGTCTGGGACTGAGCTCAAAACTATGCCAGGGAGAGTATTAGCAATTAAACAGCATGGATGATCAAATGATAGAGCTGGTATCCTTGCCCTGCTTATTTCACTTGCACAGACATAGCCAAGGAACGGGTTTATTGACAGACTCAGATCTGAAATAGCCTCTGATAATTCTGCTACTCAGGAAAGAGGATTTGTTTGCATCAGTTGATTTTGATGTGCCTTTTTGTTATTCTACAGCTTGTCTAGAAAATATCTTTAGTCCACAATGAATCATAACAGTGAGCAGGACAAGGGTCTTCTAATCAGGCCCCTCTAGGTCCCAGCAGCAGAGCCGCTTCTCTCAGACAGGAGAGGACAGTCTCTCCCA